AGGAGGGATGGCCATGCCTCAATCCCTTCTCCTCCATTCTCCTCTCGGGATCTTGGGCATGCATGCACACGTGCCTGGCGTGAATTTCAAGCCACCGGGTCCGGGATGCGAACCACGGTCGACCACATGGGAGTCCAGCAACATAGTCATTACGCTAACTGATGGTCCCTATTTATTTATTTATTTTTAGTTTGACCAGAGAGGGACACAGAGAGAGAGAGAGAGAAAGAGGGAAGGAAAGCCGCCAGGTTCAGGACTCAAACTGCAGTCAGCCATGTGGGAGCCCAGTGTCCTTAACCACCATGCCACCTGCCAGCCCTGATGTGGTGTGAATTTTAACTCAATTAAAAAGTAGATGGGGCTGGCAAGTGGCATGGTGGTTAAGACACTGGACTCCCATATGGCTGACTGTGATTCAAGTCCCAGACCTGATTGCTTGCTTTCTCACTTTTCTCTCTCTGCTCCTACTGAAAAATGATAATGATGAATAAAATTAATAAAATAATACTAAATAAACAAAGTAGCAAAAGAGATCATGGGCCTGTCTTGTAGTGCAGTGGAATCCTGTGTATGTGGAGTCCAATCCTGTGTATCTGACTGCAGTTTGAATCCTGCCCCTAGAGGCTTGAAAAACATTCTGGGTATGTGTGTGCATGTCCAAAATCCCGACAGGATGGAGAAATGGAGAAGGGATTGCAGTGTGACATGCACCATTGGGGGTTGTTTTTCTGTCTGGCAAGTGTACATGCTTTGTGGCAGTTAAAAAAAAAAAAAAAAGGTTGCACAAGAGCTGAGCCTTGGCTGAAGCAATGAGAGTCCTGATGGTGCAGATAGATGATGGGGCTGGAGTGTGTCTTATGCGGGCAGTGCTCAGCTAGTCTAGAGTTTTGACGATGGGGGACCATGAGGCTACTGTCTGGCCTAGTTTATTCACTGCTGCAGTTACTGGGACCCTGGCATGGAGGGTGAAATGAGGAAGTAGACATACAGTGAAGATACAGAGGCTCAAAAGGGCTATTGACATGCCAGTGGTGCCACAGAGAAGCTTGCCTTGGTAGCCATTCCCTGAGATGGCAGGCCTGGGAGGACCAGGGCTAATACTGGGGCAGGACTGACCAGAGTGTGACTAAGAGAGATTTTTTTTTTGTTGTTATAGAATGCGTGTGCTCACCAAAGAGATAGAGAGAGACAGAAAGTGAGAAATTATCCTCTGGGGGGGTGGCCACATTGCTGTACCTTCTCCATTCTCCTCTTGGGATCTTGGGCACACATGCATGCATGCACACGTACCCAGTTTTTTTTTTTTTTTGAGAGCTTTTTGCTATAGGGTGCATGTGCTT